ATTTTAACAAAGAAGGACATTTATCCTTTTAGTCAGAATTCATATGTAAGTTTCCTTACTACCAGTGATGGTACAGTGTATATTGAATCTATAACGATGTTATTCTACCATTAAATTTTTTCATTATCACTTATATTTTAACCTTATTAATTACACCTTATCTTTTTCCCCTCTTAAATTAGGAAGACAAAAGCTACTTGAAATAAAATTTTATTTTATAATAGTGGAGCACCACACAGTACAAACTTTATCATAGGGCCTTCAAGACACGTATTTCTAAATAGAATACCTAAGCTTACATCCATGAAATTCTTACTTGCTAGAGCATTAAAAAGGCCCCAAATCTCGAGTGCTTTAGCTCAGCTTCAGTGTTCAAAACCTTAATGGATGAAGAAAATATTATACTAGTGTTCACTGTACCTCAGAAGTCCCGTGCAATTAACATACAAAAGTGAGGGATTCTTCATTTTTTTCGAAGTCTAGAACTATAAGGTAATCACAATGAGCAAGACAAGCATTGCAAATCAGCTGTACCTTTTGCAGTGTATACATAGTAAATATAAAGGAATGATGGGTAAAGTTGTTCAGGCATTTTTTGATGTAATTTTTTTTTGTCAGAAAACTCTGAGTCATCAAAACCAAACCTTTCCATACAGAATTACTGGTTTTGACAAAACTTATCTTAAAAAGGTTTCTCAGGACCAGGATGGAATTTTCTAGTGCAAGTGATACAGACTCTCTATATAACCCAAGTTTATCTTTTCCCATATCTTAGAAAGCCAAGCTTTCTTAGTAATTCTTTGTAATTGCCTAGATAGCGAAGTTGTGTGATCATGAGACCCTCCACTTATGTACTATCACACCAGTTAATATAATCAAATCTTATTTTCTGAACACAAATCCCACCTTTGTGTATTACTGTACCAAGCACTATGCACCATCACTAACTTTATAAGTAATATTATTTTACTTTTGGAAGTATTCCTTAGAAATTAATTCCTAACACCCAGGAAATCAATAAAATCCAGAATTAGAGCGGAAATTTGAAAAGACAGTTACACAATTCTGTACGTGATTGCTGCTCTCACCTGAAGTAACACAACTTCACATCAACCTAATCCATTTAACATATAGTCCCCCCCCCCATCTAGAAAACCCAACTGTCTCACTAGTTCTTAGTAAAAGATTAAATACAAAACCCGCATGTTTAAATAAAGTTAAGGTTGAGACTCAAATCAACAAAAGACAGGAAATTCACAGATAAGTCTGACAGTCCATGCTTAATTCATTATTTTTTTAAAAAAATGAAAATGGCATGAAGTAATTATGTCAGTTTTGACTTCATTTTGTGGTGTTGGGTGTTTACCAGAAAGATTACAGTGGTTAATTCACGTAGGTTGCAGACAGCTTCTTTAGTAACTCTGTCTAGTAACTGTATGCCAAATATTTAAAACACTTCATACCTATCTAGTATATCAGACTGAAAGGAATATTTAAATGCTTATTTAGTATCTTAATGATTTGTCTTATGATATAGTATAATATTAATATGGATATAAAGATAAAAATGGTATGACAAACATCCATAGATTTTAATACTGAATGCCAGAAAAGTTTTAAATATTAGGAACTAGTTTTTAATTTCAAACCAAACCAAAGAATCCCTAAGTGAAGCCTTTTTTTTTTTTGGGGGGGGGGGGGGGTTAAAAAGGCGGTGTTAAGAAAGCACAGAGAAACATCAGATAAAAACACTTCATTTTTAGCACTCAAAAGCGAAAAATAGCAACAATGATTTGGCTTTTCAAAAACAGACGTGTGTTTTTACAAAAGCCAAATAATTTAGTTGTGTTTTCAATTTTTTTAATATATAAACTTAAATCCTTGGAATACATTTATTTGTGTGTGATTTTATATATATACATTCATACTCTCAAATAAATTTATTACAAGGTTGAGACATTTTATGGCAAGTGTTAACTTGGAGAAAAATTTTACAGCTGCGCTATATACTTGTGAGAAGTTTAGAATAGAAGTGCTGACACAGTCTTAACTGTAGCAGTGCAATCAGCAACAATATATTTCTTTTTTCCTTGCAGTTAACAACTCTTAGCATCTGCTGCCTATTTCAAATCCACCTTGGTTTCTTTTTTTTCCTGTTTGTCTCATATAAATGAATGTTAAAAAAAGTCCTCTGTGGCTGAACTGAGAACAAAAAAAAATCTACTAAAATAGGTTTTGGAGATTTGTTGGTATCCAAACACAGCCCTAGAGAGTCTGAGGCCCTCTGCTAATTTTCTTTTCCTCTTATTGTTCTACACTTTATTCTACCAAATTAAATTCCATGGGGGCAATGTGTCTCAGAAACTAATGTTGCCTATGACCGCTATGTTATGGTTTAGAGAATTTTAATAGACTACTTTCAATATTAAGGCATATCTTTCAGTGCACCATTTTTAGCAATATTTTTCAAATAATCAAAATGGTATAATTTCTTATTATTGTTTTATTTTATTTTCTCAACATCTTTTTGTCAAAATCAAACCAGGACTTTAAAATGGCTAAATCTCACATTTCATATTCAAGCTTTTTTAGAGAACATATGAATCATTTTGCACATCTGTTCCTATATTATTAAGTTTTAGTTATGGGTCAACAAGATTAGCATTAATCTTTTTTTCTTGTCTGATATCCCAAATTAAAGGTGCGCTTAAAACACATTGTTCTAATAGCCTTAATATGTTGTTTAGTTATGGAATTTCCATTTTTGCCAACTAAACTTTGGGACAGTTAGGCTCTTGACACCAGCAGTCACAACTCCACTAAGCATTGTGGACTAATGCATGAAGAAATGTGAGCTGGGAGTTTCAAAGGCATTTTCAGTGATTTATGCATCTGAGTTCCAATGAACTTGAATGGAATTTGGGTGCATAACTTCTTTGGTCTCCTTCTAAAAATCCTGGTTTCATCTTCAAAATTAGTTGAGCAAGTAGAGTTGCTCAGGTATCTGTACAGTCACAATGAGCAAATACTCAATTTTTAAATATAAAAAGCAGGCAAGGCATTAATCGTGTGTTGAATCCATCAAACCTAAATGGACCAAGTTCATATGTTAATATCCTCAATAGACAATCAGGAAGATTAAGCAAGAACAGATGTTCACATACACTCATTCCTTTTCAGAATTTTAGTCAGTGTACTATGATACTAAAATTTTGGCTAAGTAACTACTGAGCCTACATTCTCTATGTTACAAATTTCTAGAATAACATGCTTTCACTAAGAGAGAGGCATCTGTCATTTGGTGGAGCCTGAACAGTTATGCATGTGAAATCAATAGCATAAGACGACTATTGGGAAATTACAACCCACGGCAAACCATCCCACTGGTCACTGGACGTTTTCTCCTACTTGCCAAAAATGGCAGGATGCCTGCAGGATTTCAGGAGAGAGAGGTGGCTGGTTCCTTTTCCACACATGTCCTACTGTGGAGCTACAGTATGGAGCTCTGTTGGTGAGAGGCTCCCATTCACTTAAGGATCTCTGGCGCTTTGCAAGAGGAGTGGCACTTTCCTATCCCATCTAAGTCAAATTTCTTGAGTTGCTTACAAAGGCTAAGTGGTGCTTAAGAGCACTGCTCTGCCACAGTACTCATCATTCATGATTTTTAACATAAAACACAGAAAGAGTGGAGCTGTCAGGGAGGTGACAACATTTAGAGAGGGGGGGGGGGGGGGGGGGGGGTTTTGTGTTTCAGTAAACATTGATAATACACTAATTAAATAAAAAAGGTCAAAATGATTCAGTGCTACAGTTACTGTACTGAAAAATTTACCAATGCTATAAATGAGGTAATTAATGTATTAGTAGTATCATAATCAGGATATTGTACTAGTTGTTTGAAAAGCCCTAAAGACTACAAGATCAAGCACGCTGATGATGGGAAATGGCTACAGAAACTTATAAATTATGGGCAAACTTTAAACTATTTGATTCAACAGTGCAATGTGAATAATTATGGTATCTAACCAACCAAGTCTTTGCAAATACTCTCATTACTCATCTATTTTATGAAATGTTCTTCCCATTTTTCACCTGTGCATAACCACTTCTTCCCCTTTCCATTCAAATCCAGTGCAATACATTTATTTGACTTTCTTTCCCCACTAGCTAGCTAGTGTAGTCATACTGCTTTCGAAAAACTACCGTTCCCCTCTCAGCCCCTTCACCACAAGGCAGCCGGTATAGGGGAAGCTGATGCGAGTTCACTGTCTGGGATGAGGGACAGGATGCCATGAACTCTAGTGGAATTCCATCCAGGCAGATATAGAAAAAAGGTTTGAGACTATGGTGTGGCCATCACATCTGCAACTACAAGATACATTTTAAGCAGAGCAGAGGTTACTACAACCCCATGACTGCAGCAATAACCATAAAGTGTCTTTCTTCTCATGATGCAAAATGACAATGATTCTTCTTCCCAAACCCTCATTGTTTCCCCTGTACCAAGCCACTTGTCTTAGGTTATATACTGCAGATGTGATTTACCTCTTAATGAATCATTGTGTGGTCCTGCCTCTCTACTGGAACAAAAATAATCTGTGTTCAATTCTCAGGTCCCAAAACAGTGCAAGATTTGAAAGGAAGAACCAGTAAGAAACCATTAAAAAGATTAGCTGCTAGATTCTGCAAATCTCCATTTAAACTGAGAGTGAAGAAAGCAGTAAGGTAAGAGGTAAATTAGCTGAAATCTTTGTATTTATTGATCAACATTTAAACTCTCATCACAGAGATCAATCAACAATTTTCAGTGCGTTCTATATGAAAGAAAATCTGCAGCTTTCTAATATTTAACAGAGTGCCTGTCCGGTAGCTTCTTCATTGTAAATCTTCTCTATCTAGGGCCATAGCAATACTTTTACAAGTATTACAAGGCAAATTTCCTTTTTTAAGTCTCTGTGTCGAGTTTCACTGACAGTGAAAACAATAGTTATTTTACATACCATAGTCAGTAATCTTACAGGATACCAAATACAGCTCTTTCAAGTTCTCTCCTTCTTTAGCAATGACCTCCACACACCTGGAATACATACAAAATAAGGTTCAAAATTGCAAGAATGCATTTTGTGTTAAATTAATAAGGGCTCATCTACAACGGTAACACTACAAGGTAATTCCAAACTCATTATACTAAATTTTTCTTTTTGTGACCTTCCTTAGAACTCTTTCAATATAATTTATTACCATCACAACATTTAAATTCAAATATTAAAAAATACATATGAGTTCAGTTTGACACATTTTTGACTGCTAAGATTTCCATGTCCCAAAAAGGTCTTGATAGGGAAAACAAAGTTATGTTATATATTTTCATATCACCAGTACTATAGTCTGGGGAATGTATTTATGTATTAATTCCAGTTTGAGAAAATGTGCTCTCTGTATAAATTTTTGTCAAACTACAAACTCATTTTGAACATAGGGCTTTTGTGCCTTCTCTGTAGTCTTTTTACCTTTATGTTGGCCTGGCATTCCAAGGGAGTAATGATACAGTGCTAACAATGGAGAATCATTAAGCCTTTATGGTTTTCTGTTTATATGGAAGCACTCTTGGACAAGGAGTTGTCTGCCAGAAGAATCAGTCTAACCAGGTGGCCCAATAACAAATCAACTGATCACTATATAGAGAAGTTTGATCACCTGATTGAAGGACTAAAAGTTATAAAAGGGAGGTTAACTTACAGGCCATTTTGGAAACAGGAAGACGAGACCAGAAGCAGAACGCTGGATACAGGAGTGAGAGAACACCATTTTTTGGAAGAGAAGCCAAGTGCAGGCAAGGGGAAAAGAAGGATTTTGGACATACTAGAAGACGAAACATAAGCCTAAAAAACACTTGAGGGTAGAGAGCTAAGTCAGGCAGGGATGTGTGTGTTGGTGTCATTGTTTTGCCTGCGTCTGTATATTTTTTGTGTTGTCTAAAGGGTCATTGGCTTGGGAATTTTGGCATGTACTTCAACAATATGCCCCTGGAGAAGTCAATGATAATCCAAAGTGCCTAGTGGGTTGGAGCTTTGTGAAAAGTTATGCTGAAGCATTTGAGGTGTCTTGTGGAAGGGGGACCAACACTAGTCCTGTGGGCTTAGGGAAGCTGGACCATGAAGTCTATGCCCAGGAGGAGAGGCCAAAGAAAGAGATGGACCCAGGCAAGCTTAAAAGTACCCATGGTCTGACACTTGTGGACCTAAACTCAACAGCCTAATAGGACTACAGCTAGTCTCAAAAGACATTAATGCTGTTTCAATATACAGGTTATTTGGGAAAAAAATGAAAAGGTTAGAGAAACATTTTTATTTCTATTGTAAAATCCAATATTACAATCAGATGCAAATTCTGCTCCATGCAAACAAAAAGTGTAAACTACATTACAACAGCCACATAAAAGCTTTAGACTATACCACCCATTAAATATGTTGTGATGAAATTGAGTTTTATTTGTCTAGAGTGATTATTGCTGAGACCAGCACTAATACAGCCATGAAATAGAAGGTACCATTTGTGTTATAGTATGTTGCTAAAAAAGGTCTTATTTATGAGAATGAGGTTTGAATTCCTGTATTTCTTTTTGGTTTGTCAAAACAATATAATAAAACAATACTTTATCTGTAAATTCTCTCTAACTTGTAAGTACAAAATAAATAGGAAAAAGAGCTGAATATGTTGTAAAAGAGATGTTTATAATTCATCATTTAATTGTAACTAAATCTGAATATCTCTCTCTCTCTCTGAGTATATATATATAAACACACCCACACACAGATGTTATGTTTACAACTTCATTATTTGCACTGTATCAATAATGCAATGGAGTAGCATAGAATGTATTTTTCCTACGAATTTGAAAATGTATTAATTGCTTATTAGACTGGCTGTGATAGTCTGCTGAGTGTTTACCTTCCTATATAGACAGACAGACAGACAGACAGACAGACAGACAGACAGACACACACACACACACACACACACAAAGGATTTTTAGCAAGATATATTGTCACAATTCCTTCAGAGCCAGAATGGGTCCTTTTTAATTTGCAAGTCATTGACTCAATAGACTGCTACATCTTTCAAGTCAATCCAGCTGCATTACTCAGGATAAAAATATTTGCCAACTTTAAAGTTAAAATATGTATTTATGAATTCTTCATAATCTTTTGTAGAAAACACATCCATGCCTCAGGAGCACACCCCACACAGCAGCAGCGGGAGCAGCAGAATATTCTCCAACCTAATTTTATTGTTGATACTGACAATTTGATTTCTTAAATCACAACAGCTGCAACAATTTACAGTGATAACAGCATCACATAATTTCAGTGTTATCTGTCTCCTTTACTCTCTTCAAATCCTCAACCAAAACCTACTTTTTTTTTTCCTGTGGAGGTTGCATTGACCTTGATTTCTTTCTGCATATTTATATCATCCATCAGGTCACATTTTTAATGATTTTTCAATTTTCCTTTCCAAAACTGGGTGAATTTAGTATGTGGGAAATTGTAGAGTGGCAGCACTGGAGAACAAAGTCCTCTTTTCAGCCAGAGAGCAGAGAGAGCAAAGACAAAGACTGAAAATGTTTTTACCATTGCATCTCTTGATCTTAAGGAAACATTCTAGGGGAGAGGATAATTTAGTTTCCATGCCCATTCTAGTCCTTGTCTTCTCTATTGAGATTGCCAACAAGGGCATCTATTAGCATCAACTGTGCTGGTGATTATCCCTCTAGGAGCTGGACTGAGACAAACTCTTCTCACATTAACAATTCTTTGAACCATGCAGGTTCATCAGTTTATACTTTTATACAAATAAAAAACCATCTAGACAGTTAAACCCTCTTTTTCTAGTATCAGCGGGGTAGCCGTGTTAGTCTGAATCTGCAAAAGTGGCATGGAGTCCTGTGGCACTTTATACACTAACCAAAAACCTCGCCTCTTTTTCTATATGGTTTATGAAATACATTTACATTTTTGAAGAACCTCATTTTGGCAGAGGAATTTGTTGTCTTTGGGAGGGGGCACAAAGTGATTGATTTTTAAGAAATAAATGCAAGACTGTGCATGATATATTATAATAGTATTTTACTGCATAAATCAATAATTTGAATAAAAAGAACCATCTTCCAACAAAATGAGACAACATACATTTTAACATGAACTACTTGCAGTCTATCGTATATCTTCAAATTGGATATCATTAAAAGTTGAACAGCCCTTTTAATTAACAGGAACATTTTGATATGCTATCTATTAATATTTATGGGGTAAGTCATGAGGCAAAGAACTGAAATTCCAGTCCTAATATGAAAATGTTTTTTACATAAACCCTTCTTTGGACCAACTTCTAATCTTGGAAAATTATTTATATTATTGTGTCTAATGCGATGTATTTTATAAAATGTAGAATTTTTTATTGTCATGTCAGTATTTATCAAGAAAAGGGTAATGGAACAAACACACAGCATTATAATTAATCTTGAGCATTACTACCTGAAGAGAATCAAATCAAAGTAACAACCTAGTTTTTCTTTTTTTTCCAATTATGAAACACTGCAGTCACATTGTTCAGGGTTCTATGAAGGCAGTACATTCTTGTTCTGACCCCACATAACTTAGGAATGGCATTACAAGATTTTCTGGTGTTCCCTTGTTAGATAGGCTGGACTTCCCCATCATTCCCTGATTTTAGGCAGATGGTGGTCTATTGTGGAGGAGGGTACTTTCAGGCCCTTACATCTAAAGAACTTGAATTGGACTGGGTCTTGCCAGCATCAATACCAGAAGTGCCATGACTGGGTAATGGTAGTGGAAGTCCCCTTCCCCATAAAATCCTGGGCTATGATGATTGCCATTGTCCCCCTCCATCTTGGGAGGGCAGTGTCAGGAGCACCCTACTCTGGAGGCAATTCATGTTTCTCAGACTGGCTGAAGACTCAGGCAGGTGCACTGCATTGATTTACACTCAACTTTTCTCCACAAGCATACATACAAGACTGAATTATTGTTAATATAATCAAAGTAAATTTTGACAATCACAAGAGTTCACTACCTAGAAATGAAGGGACTTGCATATATCGCATATTCCTTAATTTCCCGCAAATGTGCTACTCTAACTGTGAGAGTTGAAGCCAGAGTTGTTGACTCGAGTCCCACGACTTGAACTTGAGTCCAACTTAAGTCGCCTAGGTGACTCAACTTGACTCGAGTTCATTGTTTGTGACTTGAGACTTGCTAATTTTGTTAAAGCAACTTGGTGAAAAAATTGTCCGAAAATGCCGATATTGATAGCTTGTACAAAAGTGACTTGGCATTTTTTAAATTAAGACTTGAGACTAGACTTGGGACTTGACTCGGAAGTGACTTTAGGGACTCAAGACTCGACTTGAGACTTGAACTGTAGTGACTTGAGACTTGACTTGGACTTGATAATGACGACTTGAAGACAACACTGGTTGAAGCCCCACTGCATCAACCAGTGGAATTCTGTATGGTTCTCTGAGCAACTGCACAAGATTTGCATTGAAAACATGGTTCAACTTTCTACAATCCAATTGAATTTTTCACATTTCTCATCTGGTTGCACTACATTTCAATGCATAAAACCCATTGTCAAAATGTGCCCAACTTTTTAATTTATGAAAACAGTAAATCACAAAGCATCCGACTATATGAACTGATCAAACATTTACTTGAAAACATGCAATCTTTAATATAACTAGAACCACACTATAGAAACGCTTGCATTCCCCTTCAGTGGCTTGCCATACTCCACCATTTAATTTTCACTTTTAGTTACTTTCTTAGCTCTCCCACATGCAAATTAATTTGTAGGGATACAAAAAAAAACCCATCCCACTTTATATTGCCTCCCACACATGGCAATAATCTTGTATAGGAAAGACCACATTTTAAAAAAACATTTATCAACAAGTCCCTTAATATGAAAGGGAGAGGGAAAAGTAGTTGTATATTTATTACCTCTACCTTTATTAATCATTGTTAAAAATGATACCAAAGAAAAAGGGTAAAA